TCAACACACAAAAATCAACAGCCTTTATATACACAGACAATGCCATGACAGAGAAAACTTCAACCCCATTCACAATATTTAATCAAGGATGTCAAAAATCTCTATGATGAGAATTACGAAACATTAAAGAAAGAAATAGAAGAAGACACAGAAAAATGGAAAAATCTTCCATGTTTGTGGATTGGAAGAATCATCAAAATGTCCATACTACATAAAGCAATTTACAGATTCAATGCGATACCAATCAAAATACTAAGGTCATTCTAATCAGATATAGAAAAATGATGCTGAAATTCATATGGAAACACAGGAGACCCCAAATAGGTAAAGCAATCTTATACAACAAAAACAAAGCTAGAGGCATCACAATACCAGATTTCAAGACATACTTTAGGGCAATTATAATCAAAACAGCCTGGTACTGGTACAAAAACAGATGGCTAGATAAATGGAACAGAATAAAACACCAGATATCAACCCATGCATCTACAACCAACTTATTTTTGACAAAGGAGCCAAAATCAGTTTCTGGAGCAAGGACAGTCTCTTCAACAAATGGTGCTGGGAAAACTAGATCTCCATATGCAAAACGATGAAGCAAGAACCCGACTTTACACCTTACACAAAAATCCAATCAAAATAGATTAAAGATCCAATTTTACCACCCAGTACCATCAAATTATTAGAGAACATTGGGGAAACTCTGCAAGACATTGGCACAGGCAAAGACTTCTTAGAAAAGACCTCAGAGGCACAAGCAATTAAAGCCAAAATTGAAAAATGGGATTACACCAAGCTGACAAGCTTCTGCAGTGCAAAAGAAACACTCAGCAAAGTGAAGAGGCAACTGACAGAATGGGAGAGATTATTTGCATACTATGCAACTGATAAAGGATTAATAAACACAATATATAAGGAGATCAAGAAATTCAACAACAACCCAGTTAAGATATGGGCAAAGGATTTAAACGGACATTTTTCAAAAGAGGAAATCCAAATGGTCAAAGACACATGAAAAAATGCTCAGGATCACTAGCTATCAGGGAAATAAATCAATACCATAATGAGGTTTCACCTCACCCCAGTTAGGATGACTTTCTTACAGAAACCAACAACCAACCAAATGCTGGCGAGGATGTGGGGAAAAAGGTACCCTAATCCACTGTTGGTGGGACTGTAAATTGGTACAGCTACTGCCAGAAATCTGAATATAGATCTACCATATGACCCAGCCATTGCATTCCTGGGAATTTACACAAGGGAAATGAAAGCATACGAAAGAGTCATCTGTACCTCATGTTCACTGCAGCTCAATTCATAATAGCTAAGATTTGGAACGAACCCAAATGCTCATCAACTGAAGACAGGACAAAGAAATTATAGGACATGTACACCATGAAATTCTACAAAGCAGTAAAAAAAAAAATGTGAAACCCTGTCACTGACAACAAAGTGGATCAAACCGGAAAACATCATATTTAGTGAAATAAGCCAGTTCCCAAAGGACAAATACCATATATTCTCTCTGGTCTGTGGTAACTAACAAAGCAACTAAATGGTAATCTATAAAAGTGAAATGCAATGACTTTGAGCAGCCCTTGTCTCGAATGCTGAGAAAGTGTTTTTCATATTATTTGTTGAATTCCTTACTTAGTATAGCTAATCATATGTGTTATAAAGTTAATTGAGGGGGTGCCGCCTGCAGCACTGGCATCCCGTATGGGCACTGGTTCAAGTCTCAGCTGTTCCACTTCTGATCCAGCTCCCTGCTATGGCCTGGGAAAGCAGTAGAAAATGGCCCAAGTCCTTGGGCCCCTGCACCTGTGTGGGAGACTGGGAAGAAGCTCCTGGCTCCTGGCTTCAGATTGGTGCAACTCGGGCTGTTGTGGCCAATTTGGGAGTTAACCAGCAGATGGAAGACCTCTCTCCTCTCCCTCTCTCTGCCTCTCTTCCTCTCTCTGTGTAACTCTTTCAAATAAATAAATAAAACTTAAAAAAAATAAGTTAATTGAAAGTTGATCTTAGTAAAAAATAAGAAAGGGAATTGGAGTGGGAGGAGGAAGAGGGGTAGGAGTGTGGGTATGATGGGAAGAATTACTATGTTCCTAAAGTTGTGTTTATGAAATGCATAAAGTCTGTATTCCTTAAAAAAAAGGTTTCTGGGGAAAAAAGAAATTTCAGTATATATACACTATGGAGTACTTTTCAACTGTAAAAAAAAAAAAAAAAAAAAAAGAAATTCTGTCTTCTGCAACAAACTGGATACAACTGGAAAATATTATACCAAGTGGAATTACAGTCCCAAAAAGACAGATATGTTTTCCCTGATCCAAGGTAGCTAATAAGAGTACCTGAAAAGTAATGCATTAGGGTGAAATAGACATTTTGAGATTCCATGATTGTTTACGGCCCTTGTCTGTTCTGTTGTTGAACAGTTTTTTTTTTCTTTTTTCTTCATAGCATTTGTTGAAATCTTTTACTGAAAATAAGTCTTTGTAAAAATTAAGAGTGGGAATGTGTGTGTGTGGGGGAATGTCACTATGTTCCTAAATCTGTATATATGAAATATATGAAACTTGTATAAATTAAAAAAAGATGTGGGATATTATTTAGCCTTAAAAAGTAATAGTTCTGATACATGCTGCAAAATACATGAACCATGAAAACATAATAAGAGAAATAAGAAATAAAAGGACAAAGAATGTATGATTCCACTTATATAAATTCTTGGAATAAGGTTACCAGGAGTGGAGAGAAATGGGAATTATTGTTCAATGAGTATAGGACTTTCAGTTTTGGGTGATAAAAATTCTCTGGAAATGGATAATGGTGATAACTGCACAATACTGTGAATTCACTTAATATACCAACTAAAAATGACTGTGGGTCTGTTTTCTGTTATCAAATTTAAAAAAATTAAAAGCTACCAATCTTCTGAAAGAGGATTTGGCAATATCTAACTAACTACGTCTGACTTAGCTTTTGATCAAATAATTCCACTTTTAGGACTCTATCCTGAGGATGGAACTCTAACCACATATAATATACGTAATATTTGTTATACTATTATTTATAATTGCAAAATATTGGGAGTAACTCATATGCTCGCAAAGACAGTAAAATGTTTTATAGCACAGGTTCAAAATTTAAGGATGGTCTGACATGGAATGATTTCCAGGAGAAATTATTAAGTGAAAAATCTAAGTGTCAAAGAGAATGCTGCTGCCTTTAGGTAAGAAAAAAGGGGATAAAAGAAAATACCCATGCACTCTCATTTTCACAAAGGCCTACAGAGACTGGGCAAAAAGGAGCAGCAATAATGAGGGAATGAGACAGAGGCAATAGAGAAGAGAGGGCAATGACACTTTCCAAGTATATTTCTTTGTGTAGCTCTCATGGAGCGAGGGTCATATCCCAAGGATTCCAAAATAAAAACAACTTAAAAGTAACTATAATGTGATAGGGGACATAAAACAAAATATAAACAGCCACAAATTAATCCAATATATTATAAACATGGTAAAATGACTACGGGGGAGAGGGGAACAATCAGTGCAAGTAATTGGAAAACAGTATTTTGTCACTAAAGACAAAAAGCAATTCTGAAATATGTATGCTACGATGGAACAACTATTTTTTGATAATTAGAGTCAGGTTTCCTACTATAAACAAAGAGCTTCCTGGAAATGTGGTTGATTCTAGGGCTGAGGCAGGGAAACGCCTGCTTGTTTCATCCAGTGGTGCCAGAAAGTAAAAAATAATTGTATAAACTGAAAGTATACAGGAGGCAACCTTAACGGTCTTGCAACAGCATAAGCTTGAACTGTAAGCAATAAAATGTTAGTATTATGGAGTAGTAGTATTACAGTGTCATACAATAATAAAATATTAATGAGCTCACACTGATTTAAGTAAATAATTGAGTAAGTGAGGGTAAGCTAGCTCTTACAGGAGAATTCTAATAAATATATGTAGATAGGATCACGGAAATTGAAAATCACCATTGGATAAACACAGTAGTAATAAGTGTACAGGCAGAAACCATCAACTGCTACTAAAATTAGTGAGTGAAAGGATAGTTGTATGACCTCAAAGAAACTTACTAAAAGGAAAAAAATAGCGACTTCACTGTGTAGAAAACTGGCAGACAGCACCTTAATGAAGCGATGGAAGTTATTGTTACTAGCAATAGGCAAATCAGTACCGGGGATCCTGGCTTCACTGATTTGAAACACTGAGAAAGCCAAAGCACTTCCTTGGTATTCTTGACAGAAATGCGTATCCTCAATGGAATCCATAAGAAAACATTAGGTAAAAACCAACGTGATAGACATTTTACTAAACAACTTATCAGTACACTTCACTTGTGTCAAGGTCAGGAAAGACCAAGAGAGAATGACTAATTGTCAAAGAAAGAGGAGACTAAGAATGCATGACAACTAAAAGCAATGTAGGAAACTGGATCACAAAAAAGCACCATTGGTAAAACTGGTGATATCTGAATATGGTCCACTGATTAGGTCGTAGTATTTTATCAGTGTTAATTTTTCAGTTTTGTCATGATTTTGCCATATGTTAACATTAGGGGAATCTAAGCAAAGACATGAAAACTCTACCATTTTTGCAACTTTCTAGAAGTTTAAAATTCAAAAATAAAGTTAAAAGAGAAAATATCATATTTAAATCTTTGGCAACCATCGTTTGGTACATTCATAATTATTCACCAGGCTGAATGAATATTTCTGATAATTATTCTTAAGTTAGAAAATCTTGAGAAGGTTTCTCTTTCTGTAATTCTTATATACTTATACCTTTATAATGAGTTAGTATGGCAATTTTTTTTAACCCATGACAGTGAATTCCCCGAGAAAAGACTAAAAGACTTACTTCTACATCCTCTGTGACTTACAGTTTTGTCAAAAGTTAATGTTCACTAAACATACTGTGATTGAGCAAAAAGTTATGTAAAATATCTCAATGATACAGGAATTATTACTTACGCTCCACAAAGGAAGTAAAGAGCATTCTAAATCTGCTAAGTCGACTACCTTCATCTGCCCACATTCGTATCACTCCAACTCCTGTTTTAAGCATTACGTCATTGGCCACAGTGCTGCAAAACTTGGCCTTCAGATTTTCAATAGAACTGCTTCCATCATAGACTGCAACAAAGTTTCTCTTGCATTCATTTGAGTGCTCCATTTGATAATCTAGGAACCTCAAATAAATCTGTAACATTAAAACAAAAATAGCGCTTCAAAAAAAGATAATGAGTTTTTCCTATTTCTATAATCCACAGTAAAAATGGCAGTCTAAATTATGACAGCTGACTGAAAAACATAAAAGACAAAAGGCTGAAGCTGAAGTAGTTAAAAGAAAGAGGTCTGTTTCTTTGGTTTCATAATGGAGACAAACATTAAGGAATTTGAAGTTTGTGTTTTGACTATAAAGAAAAGAAAACTTCTTCCTACATGAGGCATAACTGTCTTACCTATTTCCCCACTGTAAAAGCAATCTCAGGGTAGGTATTTTGCCTAGTGGCTAATAAGCTGGTTAAAAGGCCTACGTCCCACACAAGTGTACCTAGGCTCCATTCCTGGTTCTTGCTCTTAAACAGATTCCTGTTAACTCAAAATCTAGGAGGTAGCAGCTGACGGCCCAAGTAATTGGGTTCCTGTTATTCACGTGGGACACCTAAGATTCAGTTGCTGGCTCCCTGCCTTGGCTTCAGTTCTTTTTTCTTAGGAAAAAAGTGATCTCATGGTACTAACAAGGAAAGCCGAGTCATTCATAACTCTATTCTAACAATGTGATTAATTGATTTTTCAAAAGTAGTTTTTCTGTATATCTGAAAAACCTAAGTTTAACTGTAAGATGTGTAAAATACAGAAAGCCTGTTTGTGCTGTTACATAACCAAACTTTTTATCATATCTATAGTCTTTATAACCATACTCATTTTTATCGTAGGCTGTCCTTTCGTTTGCCGACTCTCCTGTTACACACTTAAGGTTTTTTATTTTTCCCAAAGATTTCATCCCTTAGATAACTATGTCAACATTCTCAGAGAAGATATGGACTACACTCCCCAAAGAAGCACTATTAGCATCTTCCTCATTCAAATTTTACAGACATTTTGCTACCTGGCACGAAGTTGTTTCTTAAAATACACTTGGTTTATTCTTGCTTAGAGTTCCTTTATATTGAAGTCTTAGGAGGACTTTAAGCACGAATGTCTGAAAGAACCTAATGAAGTCATTGTCATTACTATGAGTAGAGAGATTCAGGACCATCAACAGGATTATCCAGGGCAAGGATTTGAATCCAGGTTGGTCTAACTCTAAAGCTTGTGTTCTTCCCATTGCATAGTGTGCCTCACGCGTACAGACACACATCACATTCACTCGTTTGGTTCTAGTTGCTCTTATGTGACTCTACAATTTAAAGAAAATTCTAGTGAGTAAAGAATAAAAATTTTCTTTGAATTACCACTGACATCTAGTGAGTATTCATTATTTAAACTTATTCCTGAGTTAGCAGAATGCCATCACCATCCTTTAGTTGAAAGGGCTTAATAAAGCAAAAATATCACATCACATTACACATTTTTTCCCTTCTAAAATACGTTGATGGTACAAAACTAAAAGCAAGTAATTACAAAATATAGCTCTAAAAGTTAACTTTGGTTCACTGAAACAATCAGCTCGCAATTTCCATGAGAATGATGGGCAATTAGTAATGAAATACAATTCCATTTCAAAACTACAAAGCTAATCAGACACAAATTTTAACATAAAAGCAGCATGTTTTCTTAAATATTTAGCAATGATTCTCATTAATTTTTCTGTAATTTATATATCTAAAACATTCTCCTCATGGTTCTATGATAGAGTCATCATCAACACTGCCTTCTCCATTAGATTATAAGGTCTTCCAATGAGAAGATCACATGCTAAATTACATCCAGTACAATTCTTGCTCATAGGAGGTGATGAGTTAGTGACTAGGTTTGTAAAATAGAATCGGTAGAACTAAGTATGGCTAAATAGTCAAGATGTCTGAAGTATTTACTTTCTGCTTTTATCTTAAAAACATGGCATTTAAAATACTCTTCAGGCCGGCGCCGCGGCTCACTAGGCTAATCCTCTGTCTGCGGCGCCGGCATACCGGGTTCTAGTCCCAGTTGGGGTGCTGGATTCTGTCCCGGCTGCTCCTCTTCCAGTCCAGCTCTCTGCTGTGGTCCGGGAGTGCAGTGGAGCATGGCCCAGGTCCTTGGGCCCTGCACCCGCATGGGAGACCAGGAGGAAGCACCGGGCTCCTGGCTTGGTATCGGCACAGTGCACAGGCCATAGAGGCCACTTGAGGGGTAAACCAAAGGAAAATGAAGACCTTTCTGTCTCTTTCTCACTAACTCTATAAAATACAATACTCTTCAAAATATTTTTTAAAAAAATCAAGACTTAAAGACAAATCATGTAACAAGATTGATTTTTTCCTATAGGGAATAAATTAATAATTTAAACCAATTTCCAGAAAATATTCATGCTATGAATCTGACAGTTGAGATGAAAAGGCAAGGGCACAAGGGATTCTCACTCCAGATGGCATGTTACTTTTGGTCTCTTAATCCATCTCTACATCCTATCCAGGGAGGTAGAGCAAGTTATTACGATGGTGGGAAGTCTGGTCTCATTTATCCCTTTCCTTGCACTAGTGAGCAGGAAAGAAATGGATAACTTCCCATTTCCTGGGATAGTTTAGTCTAGGCTTCAGATTGAATTGGTAAGTGGGTAGTTTCTAAGGCACATTTTACTGTGTCACCCAACTGTTGACCCTACTGTACCTTCTACTGTAAAAGGGAAGCTACTGTGGACCTCCACAGGCTGACACTTCTATTTCTCAATGCAGACCTATAGTGGAGGAAAGGGATGCTATTCACTGGAGTCCCTGAGAACCCCAACAGAAATAAAATTAAATGCTCAGAAAGCTTCTACTGATAAAACAGACTAACACACTACTTTGATACTCTGCATATTCAAAACACTGATGTTTTTTAAAAATAAATTTTGAGCACATATTTTTATTATTATGAGTATCTGAGGGTTTTAACCGGTAACATCTTTTCTTTAAAATTTTAAAATAAAAATATCTTGCTCAACTTCAAAAATTAGATCACAGTCCCATCTTAACTGCATATCACATTTTTTTTTTTACATTTTTAACTTCTAAAACTTAATTTCATTAAAAATAATATTCTCCAGTAGTCAATATTCCAAATAACACTTCCAAACTAATCTATGAAAATGGAATTATCTTTTCACAAAATAGTTCAATGAAGAGTAAGGTGATCCAAGAAACACCATTTGAGTTCATTTAAATTTTTAAAGTATTTAATACTAGTATTGCTGAAGCCTCCTAATTTCCCATTATTCTTCCTAACTGTGCATCTTGACTTTGATTTTTATAACTCCAACACTTTTTGATATTTTAAGTATCTATAAAAACATAACATTGTTCTGCATGTTTTAAAACCTTGTTATCAATTATAGAAACAAATCACCATTTGTCTATTCTCATACTGGTCATGTATCTTGTTTCTGCTTTTAAAATTTATACTGTTAGAAGCATTCTTGCATTCTCCTTATGCACATATATGATCTACATTGGATATACAGAATTATACATATATCCATGATTGCAGTAATCATCACTTTCAGCTTTATAAAAAATGCCAAATTATTTTCCAAAGTGATTGTAACACATTCATATTTCTAAACTAAGAGTTTCTATTACTCATTCCTTGCTGACACTTCAGAAGTTCTATTAGCATCAACCTGCACAAAAATTCTCTTGTGCTGTTACTTTGCAGTCAAAATCAACTCCAATCTTCATTCCTGGTAACCAATGGTCTGCTTCCTGTCCCGTAATTGTCACATAAATGAAATCACAGCCTATATAGCCTTTTGAGTCTAAATTCTTGTGCTTAGTACCTGGGGTTAATTTATATATTAAATTCTCATTTTATTGCTGAATGTATTTCACTATACAGATGCACCACAGTTTGTTTTCTCAACAGCTGAAGAGTATTTGGAAAACTTCCAGTTTTTTGATAGTAAACATTTACATGGAAGTTTCTTGTGTGAATGCTTTCATTTTTCCTGAGTATATGTCCAGAAGAGACTGCTGAGTCATATGGTAAATTTATAGGAAGCCAAGATATTTCCTGGTGTGCCTAAATCATTTTGCACTGCTACCAGGAATGACTCGGAGGTTCAGATGCTCTACATAGTTCCCAGTACTTGGTGTTAATTTTTAAAAAATTATGTTTATTCTAGTGGAGGGAAAAGTACTGCCAAAGGGTGGCTTTCATTTGCACTTTCATTATGACTAAATATTCAGTGAACTGCCTGCTAAAATTCTGCCCACTTTGTATGATGAGTTTTGAGTTATGGACACACAGGAGATTTACAAACACTTTCTCCAGTCCGTAACATTACTTTTCATGCAGCAGTATCTTTTCACCAAGTTTTTTTCTTTTTTTTTTTTTTTGACAGGCAGAGTTGGATAGTGAGAGACAGACAGAAAGGTCTTCCTTTTTCCATTGGTTCAGTCCCCAAATGGCTGCTACGGCTGGTGAGTTGCAGCCGGCATGCTACACCAATCCGAAGCCAGGAGCCAGGCGCTTCCTCCTGGCCTCCCATGCGGGTGCAGGGCCCAAGGACCTGGGCCATCCTCCACTGCACTCCAGAACCACAGCAGAGAGCTGGATTGGAAGAGGAGCAGCCGGGACAGAATCTGGCGCCCCAGCTGGGACTAGAACCTGGTGTGCCGGCACCACAGACAGGAGGATTAGCCTAGTGAGCCGCAGCGCCGGCCTCACCAAGTTTTTAAAAATGAATCCAATTTATAAATTTTTCTTTTATGGTTAGTCCTTTGATGTTATATCTAATAATTGTCTAACTTGAAGATTTTCTTCTAATCAATTTATAGACCTACATCTATAGACGTCTGCCTGAGAAAGTACAGGTCAAGCAAGGTCCACTTTTCCTTGTATTTCCGATTGTCCTAGCACCATTTATTCAAGACGACCTCTTCAACCACTGAACTGCCTTCAGATCTGTCAAAAATTAATATTTGTATGAATACAATCTCTGGACTCCTTAGTCTGTTGGTCTGTTTGTCCTTTTGTCAGTACCACACTGCCTTGACTACTGAAGTAAGTTTTGAAATT